CCTGCAAGCCGCATTTAATCTTTTCAAATATCTTTTTGTGTGACAATGTTCTTACGTATGTTTTGATCTTGATAATAGCAAACACTCCTGGCTATCTCTCTAAAACATTCTTTCCTGACAACGAATCTCTTAATTTCAATTTTTTTTTGTCAATTAAGATGTGCTGAGCATTTCCCAAAGCATCAAATCTCAAGTCTTTTCTTTTGCAGTTCTTCCCTATAATCAGTAAAAAACATGGCCACACTTTGAAAACTTCTGCTTAAAAATGTTCTCAGCTAAATGTTCATATACTCATGCATCAATATTTGTAGCAGCTTAGTATTTTAATATTAAAAATGGAGGTTGCTCAGTCTAACAGGCTGTAGAAAAAAAAAAGAAAAAAACGGAGGTTGTAGTGCAGACAGCAATTAAGATAAATGGATAAACTGTGTTACATACATAGTGAATAACACTAATTTTAAAATAGGTTTTCATACCATGGACAAATTTCAAATTATGTTGCATCAAAGACAGGAGACAAAATTAACTTTATAGACTTACATAAAATTCTAGGAAAGACAAATTTACCTATAGTGAAAACTACTCAGTGGTTGCCTAGGGATTTGGGGGGGAAGGAGAGCACTGAGAGAAAGGTTAAGTAAGGGCTTGAGGCTAACTTCAGGGGTAACAGGTATGTCCAATACCATTGATAGGGTGATAGTTCCAAAAGTGTGTGTGTATGTATTACAACTTACTGATACACCTTAAATATGTGCAGTATATTGCATGTTGATTACACCTGAATGAACCTATACAAAGTTATTCCATTTAAAAATCTGGGTCTCCCAGACGGACACGGTGGCTCACGCCTGTAATCCCACCACTTTGGGAGACTGAGGTAGGCGGATGACGAGATCAAGAGATGGAGACCATCCTGGCCAACATGGTGAAATCCCATCTCTACTAAAAAATACAAAAATTAGCTGGGCATGGTGGTGTGTACCTGTAGTCCCAGTTACTCGGGAGGCAGAGGCAGTAGAATCACTTGAACCTGGGAGGCGGAGGTTGCAGTGAGCCGAGGTGGTGCCACTGCACTCCAGCCTGGAGACAGAGCAAGACTCTGTCTCAAAAAAAACAAAAACAAAAACAAAAACAAAAACAAATCTGGCTCTCCTACTTCTATTGAAAACTGGACAACTGGACATCACTGAGTGACTCTACCTCACTACGGTGACTCTTATCACTCAAATGCCTTGGGAAGACAATTTATTTCTTCCTCAGTAATAAGAAAAATTGGCCAACAATGAGGACCACTGCCAACAGAGTCACCAGAATCTCTAGTTGGTCACAAAAGCTACCAGCTTGGACTCCTACACTTCTTTACTCCCAGGATTACTGAATGTGCAGCAAAGACATTAGGTAAAGAGCCCGGGGAAGTACAGGATCTAGGAAAACTACATTTGTTGCTGCACCAGTGACCCTGGCCATAACACGGCCCTGCAGATCCTGAGATTTTTAGATATCCTGATCCCATTCAGCCATAGTACCTGGACTGTCTGGATTTTTTGGGGGGGGTGGGGGGGGAGATGGAGTCTCTCCTGTCCACCAGGCTGGAGTGCAGTGGCTGATCTCGGCTCACTGCAATCTCCACCTCCTGGGTTCCAGCGATTCTCCTGCCTCAGTCTCTCATGTAGCTGGGACTACAGGTGTGCACCACCACGCCCAGCTAATTTTTGTATTTTTTAGTAGAGATGGGGTTTCACCACGTTCACCAGGCTGTTCTCAAACTCCTGACCTCATGATCCACCTGCCTTGGCCTCCCAAAGTACTGGGATTACAGGCATGAGCCACTGTGCCCAGCCAGATGTTTTTATAATGGGCACTTCTCCTCTAGTTTGCCACAAATCACGCAATTGCAATTATTCACGCCAAATATTTATCAGTTTTATTTCCATACTGGATGCTTTAGTTCTTACTAAGAGTGACCTGTGTACCAGATTCTGGCCTTCAGGGAATATGACCACTCAGCAGGGGCTGAGGAACAGCTTTCCCTCAACAGTGTTGGGGAACATGGGACCTATGCTAGAAACAAGACACCTAATCCATGCTGTTTCAAAACACTGAAGGCTGTCAGCAGCAGCACCCTCCTCAACGTGACATATGGGCTCTCAAATAACTCTAAAATCCGGACAAATTGGGCCTACCAAGATCTGAATCCTTACGTAACAAGCTTAGTCAGCTATGGAAGGTAACTTAGTCCACTCGAAAACTGGACTAAGAACTGTTCTCCCTCAACCCACTGTCCCATTTGAGGCACAAAGTTGGAGGCCCCCACAAAGGCGGTCTTCAGTTCGGCAGAGCCTGTTTTCAGTCCACTCCAGTGAAAAGAGCCCCCAAGATTAAAGGTGGCTTAAACTGTAAGGCCTTTATTATCACAAACCAGAGCAACATGAGGCAAGTACTTTCCCAGGCCAGGTGACTTGGAGGTTGGAAATATTCATTACAAGTATGTGAGACCAAGACTATCCATGAAGAAAGTAAACCTTTTGTATAAGCCACCAGCAGATACAGCTCAGACCTTCTTGGCTAAAGATGGGTCATGTCCATATCTATACCTGTCACACAGAAGGGAATGAGGACCCCCAATGAACTCAGGCATTTCATGATTTTCTCCAGGGACCGGAGAATATAAAACCCTGCCTTCCCGAATGCTGGGGTATCTAAGCTGATAAAGACGGTTTTGGCCACAGGCATTGACAGTGATGTAACTCCGGCAAAAAACCTGACCAGGTCAGAAAGTGCAACATATCTCTAGATGCTTCCTACATTCCTGACAACATAAGGTATCTCCCTTGTGTTAATGTTCAGATATATGAAGTTCAACATCTGAGTTGTATTCAAAGCAGTCCTAGAGCCTGCCTGCAGTGTGAACTTTCTGGTGCCGATTAAGATGGGAGCTTAAGCTGTAGCCTTCCCACATTCACTGCACTCATATGGCCTTTCTCCAGTGTGAACTCTTTGGTGCCGAACAAGGTGGGAGGTTCTGATAAAATCTTTCCCACATTTACTGCATACAAAAGGCCCTTCACCAGTGTGAACCCTCTGGTGTGCAATAAAGTCAGAACTTCGACTAAAGAATTTCCCGCATTCAATGCACTCAAAAGGCTTTGACTCAGTGTGAATTCGCTGATGTTTAATGAGGGTGTATTTGTGGCCAAAGGATTTCCCACAATCGCTGCAATCATAAGGATTTTCTCCAGTGTGAATACTCTCATGCTGAACAAGAGTAGATTTGTGTCTAAAGACTTTCCCACAATCACTACACTTATAAGGCCTTGCTCCATTGTGAACTCTCTGGTGTACAATTAGATTGGAGTGATGGCTAAAATATTTCCCACATTCGTTGCACTTATAAGGCATTTCTCCAGTGTGGATTCTCTTGTGCTGAGTAAGGTTGTCTTTTTGACTGAAGGTTTTCCACATTCACTGCACTCATAAGGTCTTTCTCCAGTATGGATTCTCTGGTGCTGGACAAGTGTAGCTTTGCGGCTGAAGGCTTTTCCGATTCGCTGCACTCATAAGGCTTCTCGCCACTATGGATTCTCTGGTGCTGGACAAGTGTGTCTTTGTGGCTGAAAGCTTTTCCACATTCACTGCACTTGTAATGCATTTGTTCACCATGAAATGCATCCCCACTCTCTGTGCTCCTATGTGTCTTCCTCTTGCTTCGGGTGGCTTTTTGTTGGCAAGCACCCAAAGTAGCCTGGAAGTTTTTCTGCTCCTCCTTACAGGCAAAGGGCTTTTCTGATGGGTGAGGTTCTTTGCTAACTGTGCAGTTCTTCACAAACGAGGCCTCACCTTCATCCCTTCTTAAGGGTTTCTCTATACTGTAACACTTTGGGTGCTGGTGAAGGTTTGAACTGACCCAGAATTGTCTCTCACAAGCCTCACATGTGTGAAGTTTCAGTCCATGGTGTGTACCCTGGTGTTCATCCAGGTGCAAAATATCTTTAAAGATGGGACCACATATATCACAGTGGTGAGCTGTCTGTGTGGGCAAACCTGCCTTGGAAGTATTAACATGTGACACTGCTATAGAAACGCTCCGTTCAGAAGACGCCTCTTCATCCTTCACTCCATGCCAACAACCTGAAGGCAGAAAAATACCACTGATCTACATGGTGACTTTGATGAGTGGGGTAACTCCATCACAAAAGTCTGTCTGGTGTACCCAGGACTGAGTACATACCTAAGCTTCCTGGTGGAACACAGTTAGGATCAGGTTGAAGTACAGTACTGAAGTACAGGGCTGATGTACAGTATTGGAATCTATGAGTCACAGAATGGAGATGGCCTCCCAAGAAACAAAGACACAAGGATGGGGTGTAGTGCAGGGAGAAGTGCAAGGTCTCCAACTTAATCCTCTGCAATGACTTTTAGCTGGACCTTGGCTGACTGTGGGTGACAGGAGACTGCTATGCAGAAATGTGTGTCCAGGCCCATGAAAATGTGACTACAAGTGAGTGATGTGTTCAGGGGCTATTTCAGGATATGTACGCATCTTACGACACATTAGTGTTTAAGTGTAGTCCAATACTGGACAGCACTGAAGAGAGTCCTGTTGCTCTACTAGAGCCCCTCTGGTACAGAGTGGGAGAGAACAGCCCTGGGTGAGAAGTCAGAGTAGAAATGACAAGAGCAGGTGTCCCCAAACTTTTTACAGAGGGGGCCAGTTTACTGTCCCTCAGACGGTTGGAGGGCCGCCACATACTGTGCTCCTCTCACTGACCACCAGTGAAAGAGGTGCCCCTTCTTGAAGTGCGGTGGGGGGCCGGATAAATGGCCTCAGGGGGCCGCAGTTTGGAGATGCCTGGACAAGAGTGTATAGAACAGGGAAAAAAAGGTAGAAATAAGTAAGGGCCTCTGGCCTTGGCACCAGTGATGGGCACAACATAGATTTCTGGAACTATAAGAACCCAGCTCTGAGGTTATGCCCTCCCTCAGCTTCAGCTCCTACTCACCAGGGCCTGCCCAAGCCCCTCCTGCTGTGACTAGGGTCATGTCCTCTTCAGTTAGGTACCCGGAGTTCTCTCTCTTGTTACAATTCAGCAATGACAGAGGACCTGGAAGATACAAAGCATAGGGGAAAGATGAAACCCATGCAAAATCACAAGAAAACAAATACTACAAAATGAACCTCAGAAAACTGTCCTACAGTAACAGTCCAGTGGGCCCACAAGTAGTGACCATGATGACTGAAATTGATGACACACGAGCAGACTCAAAGAAACTGCAATTAGAGGAAGGGGGTGAAGTGTGGAGTACAGAGGTTTCATGAATATGGACAGTCACCTGGCCAGGGAGAGGCCAAGCAGGATTCAGTGGTTTACCTTAGGACTCCTGACCCCTAAACCATTCCTGGCAAGGCTTCAAGGAAGCAGGAGTTGAGGAACACAGGGAACAGAGGAGGCAATGCATCTAGCTGAGCCTTCACACCAGGGGACCTATGTGAGGGAATCAGGAAAGACAGCAGTGCCTATGCTCTTCCTTTCTGCCCTATTGCTCTTGCCTTTCCATAGTACATGCAAGAGCAATCTCTAGGGCAAAAAGAGCAGAGCAGAGCAGAGCCCAGCCCACAAAAATGGGATACTGGGGCCTTACCTAGGGAGGCTATAAATGCAAAGCACAGAAATCATTATTTCATCATAGAAAGGTTTCTGAGCCTCATCAATCAGCTCCCATTCCTCCTAAGAGAAGCACGCAAATAAGTCCTCAGAGATCACATAGTCCTGTGTGAGGTGGTGGACAACTGAGCTTAAGGGCAGTCTCTCTCTCTAGGAACTCCTTGTCACATCTAACTCAAACGAGACAACAGGCCCTGATGTGATTGGTGTCCGTTTTCCCCTCATAATCCATTAATCCTTTTGTCCAGCCTAGAACAGGCAAGTGGACAGGCAAAACACCATGGACTGGCTTCTCCTAACACCCTGCTCCCCTGGAAACAACTGATTATGCCTCATATACAAACCTGAGCTCAGCATTCTCTCAGAAACCCTCAGTAGCAAAGCTCTGGGCCCATGAATTCACACTCCATCTACATGTGCACATCACCCTTTTGGCCATACCTACTTCACATCTATGGACACCTACTACATAGTTACCTCCCTGGCTTCCCCAAATGCACATCACACGGCATCCAGAGAATGCTTGGATAATGTATTCAGGATTATATCTGGTCTTGGTCAATGGCCCCACTGCCGTGGTATCCTGAATCCGGCTATTAAATCCTACTCTCCTGCCTCTATTTCATGGGTCAGTTCAGCAATCCAGACACATGGGTAGAGCTCAGTTGAACTCAGCACTTTTCTGTTTTGCTGCTGTACTACTGAGGTCAGTCTCCGGCTTCTGCTCAACATTTAACTCATTCAAAACCCACACCTGGGAATATAAGTGAATTGATGGAGCTGAAAAACACAATACGAGAACTTCGTGAAGTATGCACAAGTTTTAACAGCCGAATTGATCAAGCAGAAGAAAGGATATCAGAAGTCGAAGACCAACTCAATGAAATAAAACTAGAAGACAAGATTAGAGAAAAAAGGATAAAAAGGAACGAGCAAAGTCTCCAAGAAATATGGGACTATGTGAAAAGACCTAATCTACACTTGATAGGTGTACCTGAATGTGACGAAGAGAATGAATCCAAGCTGGAAAATACGCTTCAGGACATTATTCAGGAAAATTTTCCCAACCTAGTAAGGTAGGATAATATTCAACTCCAGGTAATACAGAGAACACCTCAGAGATATTCCTCAAGAAGAGCAACTCCAAAGCACATAATCATCAGATTCACCAGGGTTGAAATGAAGGAGAAAATACTAAGGGCAGCCAGAGAGAAAGGTCAGGTTACCCAGAAAGGGAAGCCTATCAGACTCACAGCAGATCTCTCAGCAGAAACCTTACAAGCCAGAAGAGAGTGGGGACCAATATTCAACATCCTCAAAGAAAGAACTTTCAACCCAGAATTTCACATCCAGCCAAACAAAGCTTCACAAGTGAAGGAAAAATAAAGTTTTTTGTGAATAAGCAAGCACTCAGAGATTTCATCACCGCCAGGTCTGCTTTACAAGAGCTTCTGAAAAAACCACTACATATAGAAAGGAACAAACAGTATCAGCCTTTCTAAAAAAATACCAAAAAGAGCATCAATATAATGAAGAATTTACATCAACTAATGGGCAAAATAGCCAGCTAATACTAAATGGCAGTATTAAACTCACATATATTATTATTAATTCTAAATTTAAATTGACTAAATCCCCCAATCCAAAGACATACAGGCAATTTGAATAAAAAACTAAAACCCATCAGTATGCTGCATCCAGACCCATCTCACATTCAAGGATACACAAAGACTCAAAACAAGGGATGGAGAAGGATTTACCAACCAAACAGAGAGCTAAAACAAATAAACAAAAAGCAGAAGTTACAATTAAGCAACAAAGATCAAAAGAAGCTAAGAAACACATTATATAATGATGAAAGGATCAATGCAACAACAAGAGCTAAAGATCCTAAATATATACGCACCCAATACAGGAATACGCAGACATACAAGACTTATAAAGAGACTTAGACTCCCACACAATAATAGTGGGAGACTTCAACACTAATATTAGACAGATCAATGAGACAGAAAATTAACAACGATATCCAGGACTTGAACTCAGATGTGGAACAAGTAAACATAATTAACATTTATAGAACTCTCCACTTTAAATATACAAAATATACACTCCTAGGCCGGGCGCGGTGGCTCAAGCTTGTAATCCCGGCACTTTGGGAGGCCGAGGCGGGTGGATCACAAGGTCAAGAGATCGAGACCATCCTGGTCAACATGGTGAAACCCCGTCTCTACTAAAAATACAAAAAATTAGCTGGGCATGGTGGCGCGTGCCTGTAATCCCAGCTACTCAGGAGGCTGAGGCAGGAGAATTGCCTGAACCCAGGAGGCGGAGGTTGCGGTGAGCCGAGATCGTGCCATTGCACTCCAGCCTGGGTAACAAGAGCGAAACTCCGTCTCAAAAAATAAATAAATAAATAAATAAATAAATAAATAAATAAATAAATAAGGCAGTGGCCAATTATTACTCATTAGTAGCTTTTTTGAGATAAGCTATTAACTCTTCCCTTTCTCCCTTCTTCTTAATGCCGACAAAGATCATTTTTGTTCCAGGGATATACTTCTTGGGATTCTCCAAATATTCCATCAGTGTATCCTCTCCCCAGATAAAGCCTTTGTTCTTACTGGCTTCAGTGTAAGCGAATCCAGAGGCCTGACCTGTCATCCGCCCAAAGATACCATGGAGATTAGGTCCAGTCTTGTGCTTGTCTCCCTTTTCCACGGTGTGACATTGGGAACACTTCTGAATAAAAATCCTCTTGCCTTTCTCAACATCACCCATATTTAATTCTTTTTTGTCGTTAGGGCAACAAGGGTTACCGCTCAGAAGTCGGACATCCCACACTTTCTAATCTGAGATTCTTTATGAAACATTCTAGCAAAGCAAACTTTAAAAGGCCTATGTAGTTAATAATCATTCTTGCCGCACTAATGTAAATAACTCAACGAAATATAATGAAACCAGACAAATTTTACAAACAAGAATCAGTAATTGTAGATAAAAATTGTATGTTTAGCCGGGCGCGGTGGCTCAAGCCTGTAATCCCAGCAGTTTGGGAGGCCGAGGCGGGTGGATCACGAGGTCAAGAGATCGAGACCATCCTGGTCAACATGGTGAAACCCCGTCTCTACTAATAAAAATACAAAAATTAGCTGGGCGTGGTGGCGCGTGCCTGTAATCCCAGCTACTCAGGAGGCTGAGGCAGGAGAATTGCCTGAACCCAGGAGGCGGAGGTTGCGGTGAGCCGAGATCGCGCCATTGCACTCCAGCCTGGGTAACAAGAGTGACACTATGTCTCCAAAAAAAAAAAAAAAAAAAAAAAAAAAAATTGTATGTTTAAAGTTTAAATAGAAAACTATACTGGGTCCCAGTGGGTTCTCGATTCTTATTTCTCCAGTATCTGGCTATGACTCTCCAAACTAACACTTCCAGTTTTGTCCCACCCTTAAGAACTGGCATCACTGATCATTAAAACTGCCCTTTTCCTGAAGCCCTAGAAGTGAAAGCTGAACAACTTGATAGAAACTTAAAAGAAATTGCCAGGCACGGAGGCTCAAACCTGTAATCCCAGCACTTTGGGAGGCCGAGGCGGGTGGATCACGAGGTCAAGAGATCGAGACGGTGCTGATCAATATGGTGAAACCCTGTCTCTACTAAAATACAAAAAATTAGCTGGGCATGCTGGCACGTGCCTGTAATCCCAGCTACTCAGGAGGCTGAGGCAGGAGAATTGCCTGAACCCAGGAGGCGGAGGTTGCGGTGAGCCGAGATCGTGCCATTGCACTCCAGCCTGGGTAACAAGAGCGAAACTCCATCTCAAAAAAAAAAAGAAAGAAACTTAAAAGAAATTATTTCAACAGTCCATGTATGATAAACCTTCATACCTACTGCGTGGGTCATGGCCATAGGGTGACTATGAAGGTTTACCAGAACACCTGATGCCATAACATAAAACATTTAACCTGCAAAAGATGCTGGGTTTTTTGTTTTCCTTTTTGCTTTTTTGAGCTAGAGTCTCACTCTGTCACCCAGGTTAGAATAAGTGGTAAGATCTTGGCTTACTGCCACCTCTGTCCCTTGGGTTCAAGTGATTGTCCTGCCTCCACCTCCAAAGTGGTTGGAATTACAGGCACCTGCCACCATGCCTGGATAATTTTTGTTATTTTTAGTAGAGAAGAGGTTTCGCCATGTTGTCCAGGCTGGTCTCAAACTCCTGACCTCAGGTGATCCACTCACCTTGGCCTCCCAAAGTGCTGGGATTACAGGAATGAGCCATCGCACTTGGCCTACAAAAGATGTTTTAAGCCCAACATCTAGAAAACCTCAACTAACTGTCCCTCGACTCAAGAAAATGGGTTTCTATGTATTAAATCTTTGTATTTTCATAGGAATTCCCCTCAATAAATATCTGACTGCTTGCACCATTCAGCAAATATTCT